TTCATTGATATGATTTTTTCCATATTAAAAAACATGAGCATCTTCTTCAAACAATCATTTTGCTACAACAATCCCCCAATACTTTCAAAATGGATTTATCCATTTTGTTACTGTAAAATATTGCCTGCCATGTCCTGAGGTCTTCAAAAAATATTTTTCTTTATAAACTGTATAACTCATGGCCACTCTGGTGATATTGCCATGCTCATCCAAAACCAAGTGTTGTGGATTAATTCATTATTCCTTTCAAATTTGGAGCATGACTAATATATGTTTAATTCTCATAAAATAGTTGCTGCCAAGAATTTGAATTGTTAGCTATGTTCACATCTTATTTATTTTATTTTATTTATTTATTTGTTTTTGTCAATTGCTTACAAGATAATAGGTATAAGTAAAAACATAATTATGAATACTTAGATACATATAAGAAAAATAAAAGAAATAAAAGAAACAATAGGACAGGGATGGTAGGCACATTGGTGCCCCCTACAGACCTCTTAGGAAAGGGGTGAGGTCAATCGTAGACAGTCTAAGGTTAAAGATTTTGGGGTTTGGGGAAAGTAGCAAAGTATTTCACTAACAAGCTGATGCAGACATATGTCCCCAGGAAGGAGTTAGCAAGACTCAAAATTAAAAGAAAGTCCTAGGCTCATTTGAGTAACTTGGGACAAAGCAACTTATTTCAGAAAAAAAAATACAAGAGTTACAGAAAACTTTTTTTGATACTATTTACCTCCTGACAATTTTCATAATTCAGAACCTTTTTCTATATATAATCTTATTGTCTTCCTGACCTTGGCATTTTCAGAAATAGTGGTAGGATAGCTTTTTTTTTGAAATCCACAATGTAATCATTGTTTTTATTGCAGGACTTTTTGCATGTCTACATTCCAGGGAAGTAAAATGATTTTTATAAGAGGGATCTATCCCCAATCAGCCTATGCCTCTAATACTTAACAGCATTTCTTTTCTATATAAAGCCATAAATCTGTCTCTTTCCCCATGTCCTCACATGGGGGATTAATGCCTTGAACATGGCACTTCAAGTATTTATGTATCTTTCCTTTATTTCACATTCTTGCGGTTCTGAAGGGCTTTTGTGTTCTGGTTTACCAATACATAACCCTGAACATGGATCTGTCAACTCTAGATCTATTCATTTAATTTTTTTAAAAACCTTGAAGTTCTCTTACCTTGTAATAGAAAAGAACAGCCTCCTAGGATCAGGGGGTTGGCATAAAGGTAGGCAGGGGTGGGATTCAAATTTTTAACAACTGGTTCTGTGCGCGTGGCTTAGTTGGTGGGTGTGGCTTGGTGGTCATGTGACTGGGTGGACATGGCTTGGTGGTCATGTTATTGGCTGGGTGTGGCCAACTCAATATCACTCACATCGAGACACCTCCTCGCCTGGCCTCTCATGACTGTGGGGATGCTGACACAGTCATAAGTCTGAAAAATGGTCATAAGTCACTTTTTTCAGTGCCATTGTAACTTTGAATGGTCATTCCACACAAGCAAAGTACCAGCAAAAGAGGGGAAAAAAACTCCAGCGAAGTTCCTGAGACAGGAAATCTAGTCCTGCCAAGAATGTAATAAGGGTTAATGGAGAGGCAGTTTCTGTAAGCAACACCAGAATGTTTCCTTCCTGCCTTCTTTACAGGATTAGGCCAGTAATTTCTTCTAACAACTGGTTCTCCGAACTGCTTAGAATTTTAACAACCGGTTCTAGTGAATAGGTGCGAACTGGTAGAATCCCACCCCTGAAGGTAGGGTAAATAAATATATTATTTCACAACTCAGTGAATTCCTGCAACCTAGTGAATGCTTGGTTGAAGAAAACTATTATTTTGTCACTGCCTGCATAGAACTTGGCAATATTACATGTTATATAGCATTGTTACTACCTGAAAGCAGCATCAAGATATAGAATTATCTTGCTGCTGCTTGGGTGGGTATTTATGCAATAGTGGTAAAGTGAGGCTAGTACAAATGACTCAACAATGCAGACAATGGAGAATCATATGCTTTCTGTATGTTTAGAGTCACAGTAGCATTTTATCTCCGAATAGGGAATCTTGCTGTATCGGCCTTCAAGGAGAGTTGAGGAAAGGATCTGATATCATGCCAATAGTATTTGGGTACTTAAAGTTTAGTTACTTATTGTCAGAGTATATTCATGAACTGGAATAGAGCTTGGTAACAAGGTTAGCCAATGAATTGGCAAAGCAACTAAATCATCCAATGAGAACTGTTTGGAAACTGAAACTAGAAGTAGCCTAGGCTTGGCTCTGTGTTAATCTCTGTAGCTCTGAAGCTATGTTGAGCTCTGGGTCTGTCTATTGAAAATGAAACTGCTTCTCTCCTCTGCTGTGTATAATGCGTGCCTGTTGAACTAAAGTGAATCTGATGTCTGTTTTTGAGCTGAAGCTGAGTTGCTGTTCTGCTCTGCACTTGTAACATGCTACTGAAGTTACTTGCAACATGTTTTTGTTTGAGTTTGCTCCATATTGGAGAAATCAGCAACTGGTTTATAAAATATACTTATTATGTTTCTAAAGATGTTAAATAAAGCACCAGCCATCTTTGTTTATTTTTCTGGAGCTGAATTAACACTGCAAAAACTCTGAATACATATGTCCTAGGGGAGACAGAATATCTGTTGGATTCATTAGCAATAATGGTTAAGGATCTAGTTAGATCCAAGTGGCACCCCATCTGCTACACATGGTTTAATGAGTGCTTTGCTCTGGTCAAATCCTGTGCTGAGTAGAAAACTTGCAGGGAAAAACCCAAGGATGAAATTTTAAGTTAAGTGCTTTTTTACATGAGGTCTGAAAATAATTTCCCATATTTAATTCCATAATTAATTCCATCAGCAGGGTTGAGTGCAAAAAAAGTCTGAGCCTATGGTTGAGTATGTCATCCACATTCTAGCTTCAGCTTTCATGGGGCTCATCTCTAATCTCAGGGTGCAAATTTGCTCAACACCTTTCTCTGTTTCAATCACAGTGGTAAGATGGCCCTGGGAGTTTCATCTTATTTTGATTAAGGTCCCTTCATAAAGATGAAGTAAACATCAGTAAATCAAGGAGACCTCCAGTTTTTCCCATAGTTTAAGTTGGGATATAAAATTAAAAGCTGCTTTGAAGTTTGTGTAGGCAGCATAAACGAAATTTGTGTTCAGGAGGATTATTATTTTTTTATGAGATGTGGAGTATTAGGTACTGATAAATGGTGGATCTGTCTTTTGTAAAATCAGTTTGTACAAGAATCGTGATGTCTGTCATAATGGCAGAATTTCTATAGTTTGGCTAATTCCAATGGAGGTATCCACGTAGAGTATGTCTAGGTGTATGTGACAGTACACAATGAATGAGCCATTTAACGTTTGGATGTTAAAGTTATTTTTATTAGATCACATGAATAAAATGAGCAATTCTATACATTATAAAAAATGAATCCTATTAAGTTCAATTTTAAATAAAAAGGCTTTCATTGTTGAAATGTCAGTTTCAAGAAACAAGTCGTCCTCACTTAATGACCATTAATAATGACCAACATTCAAAGTTACAATGGTGCTGAATGAACGATAGTTACAAGTCCTCGAAGTTACAACTGCTGTTCCTTTGGTCAAATTTCTAGCATTTGCCAACCTTCTCACATTTAGGATTGCAGTGTGTGCTTCAATTCCTCCTGACTATCTCTCCACAAATCTGTCCTTTTGACTGCCTTACCTGCTGCCTACCCTTGCCTTATCACACATACCATCCCCATTTTCTTCCTCCTCCTCCTCTTCTTCTTCCTCCATCACCTGGCCAAGGTAGCTTCCTGAGGTGGGGGAAGATAGTCAGGCTGGGAGTTGAAGTGGAGGCAAGCCCAGCAAAAGAAAAGAAGCATGTGGCCTTTACCTGACAGTGTGGTCACCCTTTGAGAGTTGTATGCAATGAAATTTCATTTTAATGTATGCTGATTAGTGTACATTTAAAGTGACAATAAAGTTAAAAGTTATTCTAATGATTGCAACCAGGACTACTATAACTGCTGTCATTTAGCATTGCAGTCATATGATGTTCTGTCTAACAACCACTACAATATTCTGGTTCCAATTAGCATTATTAAGTTAGGACTATCTGTTGCTGAATGGAAAGCATTAAAGAAAAATATTTCAACATGCTCTCTGTTTATGTTGAACCCAATATACAGTGAATGTGAGGCTAAAGTATTAGGTATGTACACTGCCTTAAGGTATACTTCAAAAAGGTGGGAACAACAACAACAACAACAACAACAACAATAGCTAAACACCCACATTTTGGAATTATTCCTTAATAAAATTATTGAACATATGTTGATTGTTGTATTATTCTCTCCCTCTTTTGTAAGTATTAATGAAAAATATGTTTTCAGTTCTATTTGCCTGGCCCTGCCTGTTATTATTATACAGTATATTGATAGCCTATTTCTTCAGCAGATGGAGAAAAACTTTGTGGGAATTAGTAGAATGGCTGATATTGAAATACTCAAGATGAAAGTTAAATTTGTACTTTGAGTCAAGCTTGGCTGTCAATAGAACAAGCAATTCTTTTTAAAGCTAAAAAAGCCAATCTCTATGTCATGTTAATTTGTGTGATGGATAACAGAAAGATATGCTCTCTTTATTTTTCAGTAGACTTCCAGAATACATAAGCTATTTGGTGTTGCTTCCACAACAAATTTGCCATTTTAGACATTTTGACAAGCACTTTATACAATTTCTAAATCAAGGCTGTGAAAATTGATAGGGATATCTGTTTTATTTCCAAAAATTCTCTTATAAAAAATAAGTAATTGCATAAGTCAGAGCAAGTGGGTTGTACACTCCTACAGTGATACACTGTTACTTTACAATTAAGTCCACTCTGGTGGATGGAAAAGATTATAATGAAAATAGAGGGGGCATTATTTGTTTATCCTGCTATTTATAAACAAGACTATGTTCTGTATCCCTTAATTTTAAGGTAACAGAGTTACACAACATCAAAAACATAACCAGACTGCCTCGAGACACCAAGAAGCATGCAGTAGCTATTATCTTTCATGATAAGACATCAAAAACATTTGCCTGTGAGTCAGGTAAGCAGTTATTACCATATCTTTAACTTAAGTAAAATTTGCTACTTATGAAACAGTACTTCATATGGATTAAAATATATCATTCATCTTTATAGGAATGTGCCATGACTGTTTGTTTGTTGCATGATAGGATCGTATATTTCCCTCTTTCAGTATTTTTAAAGACCTTCTGTTCTTATTTATTACTTACCATTTTTGTTAGTTTGTCCCCCAGGTGGACAAAACATCTCTTTCAAATTTCCAGTGCAACTTTTAGAGCTGTATAAACATTGCTTCAGGGAAGCTATAAGTGAAGCAGCAATGTGCATTTTTGTTGGTTGCTAAGCTTGTTACAGGCACGTGCTAGAATATTAAAAATCCCATGTAAGAGGAATACAAAGAACTGTTCTAATGCCAAGTTAAATTCACATTCAGTTTCATTTTATTTGTGGCTACTTTAGTTTTCCAATATTACAAGCCAAGTCATATAATTCCTGAGGAAAATCTTAAACATTTCTCATTGGAGAAAACACAGTATTCATTGGAAATAAATTATACTATAATAGTCTCTTGCATCACTCTCTCGTTCGCACTCTCTCGCGCTCTCCCTCCCTCTCCCTCTCCCTCTCCTTCCTTCTCCATCCCTCCTCTCTCTCTCCCCAGTGGATGGATATATTTCTAATGGACAGCAGAGGCCTATAGGTGATAGTAATAGTTCTTTCCTCTTTTGGTCCTTAATCAGAACTCTTTTTGTTCTTCCATAGAATCAAAAGCATGTTTCCAATCATGTTGTCCAACTATTGATTCCCTTCTCCTTCATTAATTCTAAAATTAAGCTTGTTGGCTGTCACCATATTTTGAGGACACACATAACATTGTTTTATTATGCACTTATGTGAAATTGTACTGGCTTTTTTAGGATCTAAATCTGTTGTCATTTAGCCTCATTTAAAGTGCTTGTGTTGTAGAACTCTATTTCTCACATTTCTATGCTGCAGTAAGCAGTGTACAACAAAGAAGAAAGATTAACAATTGTGGAATATTGAAAAGCAAAATACATAATGCAGTGGCACAAATAAACAGGATAAATATCAAAACCTATTCACCTAATGTTGTACCTCAGAACTAGGTTTTCATTTATTTGAAAACCCATTCGAGTAAAGCAGTGTTTCTCAACCTCTGCAGGTCGAAGATGTATGGACCAGAATTCAATCCAGTGACTTGTATGTCAAATACAGTGTTGGGAATAAAGCGTTTAGCTCCCATCTCATATATTGATTGCCCATAGAATGTTTCTTTATGTTTATTTTATTTTGAAATGTGGTGAACAAAATTATATTGAATTATCCAGCCAGTGATGCATTATAGAATGTATACATAATAATGGTATGAAATACACCAATAGTATTTTGGTGTATTTTTCACAGCAGCTGAATTTTTATAACTACTCAGCTATTTACTATAACTCAGTATAACTCATATTCATTCAGATTCAACATATCACATGTTATGTCCCTGGACCTTGAAGAAGTTCCCACCCAGGTCCGTTCACGCTGCAGGGGCAGCTGCCCCTTCTCATTGGCTGGGTTTCCCCAGCAGCCTGCTATAAAAGCAGGCTGCTGGGTCCAGGCCTTTCGCTGTTCGCTGCGAGCCAGTTCCAGGCTGAGCAAGCACGTTCAGTCCTTGTAAATAAACCTTGTTGCACTAAGCCCTGGTTCAGCCCCTTATTTCCCATACTTAATACTGGCGACGAGGATGGGATGGCTACCAGAGGCAAGCTGCAACGCTGAATCACTAAAACGCTGATCCGCAGCCCAGAGAGAGAGCGA